CGACAGGGACAGGGACAATGACAATGACAGAGACAGGGACAATGACAGGGACAGGGACAATGACAATGACAGAGACAGCGACAATGACAGGGACAGGGACAGGGACAATGACAGAGACAGGGACAATGACAGGGACAGGGACAATGACAGGGACAAGGACAATGACAATGACAGAGACAGGGACAATTATAGGGACAGGGACAATGACAATGACAATGACAGGGACAATGACAACGACGATGACAATGACAACAGAGACAGCAACTTGAGTGAGAGCGAAAACGGAAGAAACAGTGATAACATAACGAAAACGAAAGTGATAACGATAACGAAAAAGGCAACGACAACGATAACAATGAGCAATGACGACAATAATAACATGCTGCAACTACCTGGCCCATAAAACGCAAAAGATAGCGAGAATGCAAATAAGGACCAAAATCAACGCTGCCAATCCTGCCACGAGTCCTATTACCCAAGGTTCCGCTTCTACCATTTTCTGAAATAAAAGAAATTAATTATAGCATATTTAGATTCGAAAACATAATTTAGGTTCAAAATGTGGCAAAGTAAGTAAAAACTTGTCCTTCTTTATGCATCTTCAAGAATAGATAAAATTGTGACCTTCATATGAGAAAATGGTTAATTTAAGCAACCTAATAAGTGCTCTTAGATGTTGGGAGAAGAACAAGATTCTCTTCTATGCAGTGACTTCAGTAAAACAAAAGCGGGAGGTCTTACAATTAATTATTTTTCTATGCTCGAGGCACATTATAACGAGATTTCACTTATACGATTCAAGCTATCTTCACGAAAACGAGGATTTCTTTTAAAGTCGAGCAAGGTCGGAGACTTACTTTGCTTTGTAACCCAGAAAGGCAGTGAGCTGACCAGGTGTATGTGTTTTTGTTAGTCTGGGATTGAGAAGCAACTACTAAAAACATTTCTGCGTGGCCAGAGTCTCTATCAATTATAACCTTTTGCGATTCTAACGATGGTACAATTGTTTAAAAGGACATTTAATTGATATTTGAAAACTGAACACAACTAAACTGCCAGAACACAATACAAGTTATTTTTGAGACCCTCTACCAACCAAATATTGTGATCCAGTTCTTTTGAGTTTTTGAGCGACCATATCGGTGTAAAAATTAGCATATTTCCACGTGAATGAAGTAGACCTTATTAAATGAGCGACGGAGACCTAATGCTCTAACCTCGATACAAAAATATGACGGTGAACGAAATTATTTCAGGACTTCTTCAAACACATCAAATCATATAAAAGTAAATGGAATTTTAAGCTGAAACCGTTCCTGTCCATCACTAGTCATGAGTACGCGTGTAAGATATAATTAGCGAGTAGAACGATTAATTTAGACAATTGAAGTTACATATATTATGAGAACAAGTAAACAGTATTTTTCCTTCGAAACATCTTTACATTGCATTCATAAGTCGACTCGAAAATCATTCTACCAAAGAACACGTTCGAACTGAAAAATCGTGACGATCCTCAGCCTCTAATTTAGTACATCGATTAGCCTGTCGCTACTGTTTCATCTCAAAGATGATTATTTCTTGCGTATGCTGAAATATCTATATCACAGCTTTTTAAATGATAGACGCTGAACCATTCAGAGAGTTTGTGCAATTCTCAGAAGTTTCGTTTTGACGTTGACTCAGTCTTAGACACGTGCGACGTGCTCGTATTACAGCAAACGCTTGTCAATGTTTCCTTCATGCGCGAACATGTCCATATAAATTGCACCTTACACGCAAAATGGGTCGTTGAAGTGTCCTTTACACTTATACAAATTCAACAGAATGCTACGCTCACCTCTCTAGCTTACTTCATCTGGCGTTCAAGATTTTTATGAACATTTATACTGGAGGACACTGTTTTCGTGTCCTAGATTCATCCTGGAGCCCACTCATTTATGCAAAACGAGAGTAGTGATGTTATTTTCTTCTGCGTGCAAGTATGAAGTCAGGCATGCGTTGCATTCTTTCTCAAGTACTTGCTAAACGTTCTTGATCCCCCCGACTTGTACGTGCCGATTGCAGATTGTATTGCCTGAAGAGGTTTCTCTAGATCACGATCACACGTTAGTTCATCGTGTCGTTTGGCTTTGAAATATCCCTCAAATAATAACTAAATGTTTTTTCTAAATCAAATGGAAAACATGCTATACGGTAAACAGGTAAATAAGATAAAGTGGCCTCATTAACTGAGTTGATAAAGTAAATTGGCCACCGGAAAGAGTTTCGTAAAGCAGACGTTTCGAGCGTCAGCCCTTTGTCAGAGCGAGTGGTGAATGCACTAAGCCGTAAAAGTGGTAAATATATTTTCAACTCGGTCGTTGAGTCAAACTATTATGAATGCCTACTAAAAATGCGAAAAACGCATTCCTTTTTCGCCGTAGTTATTGTCCCTCAATCATCCTTACTAGCCTTAACTTCATCGGGTTGTTTATAAGCTCTGATCGTGCTTGAACGGACTCATTTTGCGGCTTTCTGAAACCTTAGATGATAATAATAATAATAGTAATAATAATAATAATAATAACACCTTTATTTAGACACGATAATGTTTAAAGCTGAACAGCTTGTGGGGTCGTGTATAAATCCAAATAAACTCTAAATTAAATAAATTCAAGATAATTTATATCATGTGACGACAGGCTGTGGTTAGAAAGAATACAAAAGAAACTTGCAGATTTGAATTTTTCCCTCATACCTGAGGTTATGCCACAAGGGCTTACGCAACCTCATTCTTTTAACCAATAAAACTGATAGTAATTCTTTTGTCTACACAAGAGCTTGAAGAAGCCCACCTCTTTTTGGCTCTCTACCACGCACTCCTTCGATATATCAGGATATCTGGTGGTCGCAAATCGCGTACGTTTAACCAATAAAGCTGATAGTATTTCCCTTGTCTTAACAAGAGCTAAAAAACGCCCATGCCACCTACTTTCAGCCAGCTATGCACCTATGTGTTAGAGTATGTTGAGGTCGCAAATATGAGAGCATTGGCGAATTAACATAATGATATCTGCCACATAATATATTGGAGATCTTAACAAGTGCTCAAAAATTAACCTTTGTTATAAATCAATTAACCAAAGTTAACAAATCAATGGTTATTGTAGGTTTTACGATTAGTGCAATATAATGTGAAGACTTCTGAAATTTAAACGCATATATGATTCTTACCGGCATCAAAGAAGACCGTTGTACAGTAGATGTCGTCATCAGATGAACCTTCCAGAAAATATGAAAAAGTATTTCGACAAAGACGAATACTAGACTAGACTGACTTGTCAGTTCCTCATTTTCCGAGAAGCGGGGCGTCATTTCTATCGAATATGCGACTGCTCTGAATCGGTTTTTGTGTAGTGTTTAAAATCATCATTCCTCGGGCCTTTCTTTTCAGTATACCTTTGATATGATTTAGTGAGAGTAACAGTATCACTTTTGCGTTCGAAAAAAAAGTTTTCTGAGATTTTTTTCACCTTTACTAAGAGCGCCTTCAACGGTCTTTTTCGGTTTGTAACCACCTTGTGAAGTACACCGATATTTCACAGGAAGGTGAAAAAAATTCAATATAGATATTGTTATTTTGGGTTTTCGATAAATATTGTTCTTAAAAAAAATTATTCTTGACATTAAGCTCAGTTATTGAAAATTCAGACAACTGTAACTTTTGTTGTTCTTATCTCGCCATTTGGAATGTCTATAAACTCTGAGTGATGGTGTACAACGGTGTAAAAAAGCCGCGACGATAGTACTTTGCTCGCATTTCAATGAAAAAACTGATTCCGGCAAACTGAATAGAACTCTCCTCTCATGCAGCAACTTTTTAAAATGATATAAAGTCTGCCTTTGAACTTTAACTCGAACGGTGAACAGAAGAGACCTCTTGGATCTTACGTTTAGAAAATAACCGCAGACTTAATACGTTGTTCGTATGAGTTCTTCAAATGATACTTTTGAGAGCCACTTCATTCGAGCAGCAAGTTCTGCTGTTGTCACTGTAGCGCGGGGTAATTAAGAATAATTAAAATTGATTCCTTGATTGAAAATTCCCACAGAACGAAGTACTCCTCGTTTTAAAATATTCCGTGTTACGTAGTTGATAAGAGGAGTTAGGTCCTAGGAAAATTGTAAAAAATACAAAAGCCGGTGAAGAGATCCTTGTAATTCTTTAAAAGATAATAATGATTAATTTAGTAAAATGTATTATGTTGTACTTTGAAGAAAATTTACGTGATAACTTTTTTAACACATAACAAATATGTCTACCAATTTAACCCAAGTGTTAGTAATCGCGTGACTCTATTTGCTGCTTTGTCCTCCCTTCAACAAGGAAACGTTTCAAAGTAAAACTAAAGAGGAATTATTCCCTGCACCGTGGCACAGCTTCTTGAGATAAAACCGGCTCAAACGGGGCTATTCAAGTGCTGTTTTGGTGAGCTCGTATTTATTTTGGGAATAAATTGCCATTACTATTAATAGTTGTTTACCTTGAGCGATCAGTGGCCAGCCCAAAATCTCGCCGTTTAGCATGCTATTTGCGTATCTATTAATCCTACAATTTATATCTATCCTCGTTTCAGGCAATTGATCAAACAAAAAAACATATTCTGGTAAAATTCTTGTTACAAAATATACCAAATATTTTATAAATACGTTTCGTAGCGTGAATTCTTAATCAAGATCATTATGATGTAAATTTCAACGGAATATTGTGCTTTGTCGCGTTAAATTTTAAGACATGCTTGCGAGCGTTGGAAGAAAGTGGCAAATTTAACATTGCGCGCAGAAAATTCCTGTTCGTTCTAAACATCAAGCGAAATAAACGGCAAATCAAAAACTGCAACCGCCCTTAAAGCAGCACAGCGCAGATTGATTTGCTTCCTAAATGAAGGTTGTCATGAAGAAGTCCGGTTATATTAAAAACGACACGAGGTATCTCTACAATCCATGTTCGATGTTAGGTTCTAGCTATAGCTGGATAAAATCGTACCTCACATGAAAAGTCCTTCTCACTTTTGTGCCAGTTTTCTCTGTAAGGTTCAGTTCGCAAGACAACGTAAGTTTCTGAACAATATGTTAAGGTGTACTTTTATTAACACCGCATGGTTTCAAAGTAATCAATATTGACGGTGGTGCTGATGTGTCATGATAGCAAAGCATTATTGGTTCCGTGTGACGTAAAACAACTCAGCTGCTGTCGTAAGATCTTCCGCTGGATCATTGGCCGAAAACACTTCCGAGAAACCTTCACAAGGGATAACTGGGCACAAGTGAAGACAGCATTGCTTTGCGCAAAAGTGCAAAACGCAAATTAAATTTTTTCATGCGGCTGAAAAAATAGATTTGTGCAAGAAAAATTTTCACCTGAGTTTCACGAAAGTGGAAAAAAAAAGATATTTGATAAACGCGATCATTGATGACCTAAATTTAAGAAGAAATAAGTTTCTTTTGTAACATTTTAAATAGCGTACAAGACGTGCTGGAGTTAAAATCATTCAGTGAAAAATGTGCGTGTAGTTCTCAGCTCATATGTATTATTTGTATTGTATTTAACAACTTACCTAAGGCAGGTAAATTTACAATAGGACAAGGTTGTCCCCTAGTAGGTAAATTGCTTTTCCCTATCCCCTAACCCAATCTCAGTAAACATGCCAGACCACAACACCGGGCGCTACGTTCTCTACAAAAAGAATTCCTTTATAACCATTTACATTTAAATATTTAAATATGAGGTAAATATTATGTCAGACATATACATCACGGAATGTTAGTTGTTAAAGCACAAAAAATTAAATTATTAATTAATGACTAGAAAAAGATTTTTTCGCATTATGAAAGAGAGAAAATTATGAACAAATTCTAACAAATTAAAATAACTAAGCTGTAAACTTGAAAAGCCTAAAGTATAGTTGTTGAACATTAAGCAACATGATTTGATTAACACTGTCTGTCTGTCTTTTCGTCGGCCGCTGGCTCTTTTTCACACCACGCAGGAAACCCGTATTTTCTCACGGAAATAGTAAGATCCGGATTTTTACCCAAGTTGGAATGAGTTTGTTGTTATTAATTTTTTTCTCAATGAGAACCTCTCCTGCAGCTTTTCCTTCAACTTTCCAAAGTTTGTGAACAATTTAGTGTGAGAGAGATGTTCTTAAAGAAATGATGATATATAGCACTTGTAGGTCAACTCCATGATTCGTCTTTTTACAGTTTTTTTTTGAGGGAATATGACAAGGTGATATTCACTGCAAAAACGTCATTGGCGTCATCAGTGCGTGATAAAAACGGGAACGAAAGCAATATATCTAAAAAACAATAACCTACTTTTTAACGAATTTTCTAGATGTGTTTTGATTTTTTTTTTTTCGAATTCATGGCGACTCATCTGATGAAAAATTGTTGCTCGTTTTCTAGTGAGGCCAGATCAACTGAAAACAATGCGAAACCGATTTGAGAAACTCTCAGAAGCCGCTTTGTTCTCTGTACTCATTCAGTGAACTTGTGGGATTGTGACTACTAAGGCCATTAAAAACAAACAGAAAACTTCATTTGAGACAATCCGTTTTTGTTTCATACAATGAGCGTTTTTAAATATCATTTGCATGCCAATGCAAATACGTAGAGCTTACACAGCAACCTACTATTACAAGATACACAAATCCTAAAGAAGTTCTCTGTTAAGCACCATGATTGATAGAGCATTTTCAAAATTGGAAGAATATGACAATAGAGAAATTACAACAAGACAATATCGAGCTTAGTCGAATGAATGTAACGTTGAGTTTGTCATTCTTGTTCATCTTGACCAATTTCTTTACCTGCCGCATCTGGTTGAGCAGGTTTTTTAAAATTTAGATGGTGAGTTACACCGATTGTAAATTGTTCAACCTCGATGATAACCTTTAGATACTGTTGAGAACTCAAACCAGAGCTCTAGTAACCGAGATACGACAAATGAACTCCGATCTTTGAACATGAAGTTATGATCGGTCAGTTCCTTGAGACATGTTGTGCCTTCCCGAATAATACGACTTCTAAAAAGGTTTTTATTTACAGAAATGTGTTTTCTACAGGTGTCAAAGACGTTTATATTCCCCGCATGGGTAATGCAATTAGCTTTGATGGGTAGAATTCAAATATGGTAAACAGTTTTAGTGTGGAGCTTACTAAGTTTAAGCCTCAAAGCCAATAAAGAAAGGCATAATTCCACTGTAAATATAAAAATGTCGACTGCGTTGACTAGACTCAGTCTCTTACCTGAGGATACTCTCGAGGTAATTTTAGTCGCAACGCGCAAATGTGAAAATACTTGTTCAAACGAAGCCAAGATGTCACACAAAAGAGTTGTATCGAGCCCAAGCCACTCTCCCACTCTGCTGCAACCAGCTAGGTATGTCTACTTCAAAAATCGCTAAGACAGGAATGTGCAAAAGCTTACCGTAAACTTCCTGTGTACTATCGCTCCGTCAAGCCCTCACAGAGGAAAAATAGGAGCACATCATATGCATATCAGCTTGGCTGCTCTCAGAGCACAATATTTGTCCGCAATTTGTTAAGGCCATATTGGACCCTCGGCTCCTGATTCGTTCAAAGAACACCCCTAGCTGCAGAACTGGAGAATGTTTAGTCCAAAATACCTATATCTGCGAGGGTATTGAAATTCTCAAGAGCTAATACAAGCATTCGATCTCACTTTGTGTTAACGATAGCCAAACAAACATGACGCCAATAGCCGAGGGCGGAGCTCTATTATTCATCTTACTAAGATGAAAAAAAAGATAAGAAAATTTAAGGAAAGAGTATCATATATCCCCATAAATAATTATGCATTCCACCTCTTTGTCTTTCACGACAAACTTTAAAAACAAAGTCTACTAGTCTGAGTGCATAATTAATGTATGGGCTTATATGGTACTCTTGCCAAATTTAAAACGAACAGAGCTTTAAGGGAAGTTGTTAAGTGTAAATTTATTATTTTCATCATTCCGTGAAAACAAACCATCAAAAGAAACTTTCGCTGAACGTTTAGAGTCAAAATGATTTTAACGTTAATCATCTTTTGAAATCATCCATTGTCGCATTCTCGAAATTAGACAGCATTTTAAAACTTACATCTTTATCACAAAGATATGTAAAGTAAATGCAAATATCTGATCTGACAAAATGACTTGCTATTGTTACTGGATAGCAACAAAGAACTACAAGAAATTTGTTCAACTTATTTCTTGAGTGAAGAACAAAGAAAAAAGCTGCGTCCCCCGCGGGGATTAGAACCTCAACAAGTTTCCGTCTCCGGCGGTCGTAAACGGCTGCTAAGATGAAATAAATCACGGAGAACTCTGAGTCAAGTCCAAGATTCATATGCGACAGGCATCTGACAACTGCAACGATCAGCAATAGTAAATGCTGTGTGTTTCAAAATAGATTAAGTGTTTTTAATTTTTTTAAGAGAAATTTAAATGACAGAAATGACCTAGGTAAGCGCAGTGTATTCTTTCAAGTCATTAGCAGCTCAAAGGTTGTGTATATAGTATTGCACCTGATGTTCAAGTCGCAAAGATCGCTGATAAACCTTCTTGTACACGCATGTAAATGTCAAAGTTTACTAGAATTTACGCTACAAACAACATAGCATTTACGGTTGGAAAAAAATATTTTAGAAAGCAAAATCTTTATTGCACGCTAGCACTTTTCCCTTTTTTAGAATGCAAATGAACACAAAAGCTATATATATGTCAAGGACTTCCAAGAGTAGTTCACATATTTAAAGATTCTTGTGACGAAACTATGACAATCTTAATATTGTAATTGAGTACGCTTTCTGGTCACAAAATCCCCAGTTAACCGGAAAATCTTTGGCTCAGTTTAACAGCTTACTGCGAAGTGAAACGAAAGCCATCCACCGCTCCAACTTAAATTGAGCGGAAGGAATTTTAACACTTTGACCTCCGAGAGCGACTACCATCTGATTTCACCTTACAATATCACCCCTGAAACACACATTACGGTCATGAGAATAAGGGAAGTGATCAGCGTAAGAGTGACCAGCATCTAATTTCTCCTTAAAATATCACCTCCGAATCTCACAATAAGGTCACGAGAATAAAAAAAAAATGATCAGTAACTAAAGAAGCTCATCAGCATCTTAGAAAATGTATAGAGAACAGTATGGAGTGTATGCATGCATACTGATCTTAGGGTGAAAAGGAGGGGAAGTCCTCCAAAAAAGGACTTTTGGGAATTTTAGAGTGCATCAGGTGGATTTATAATCAGCAGTTCGTTAATTTTTTTTCCCACTAAAGAAACAGGGCTTCACAAGGACCCCAGGGACCCTTCCACAATCTCTCTGGTTCACATAGTAATCCAAGGTAGTGTTGGAGAAATTTTTGCTTCATTTATGTTTAATAGTTATGCTGAAAATGTATCATATCATTGGGCACCTAACTAACAAAAATCAATGATCATCTGCTGGTATACCACTGCCTTCTTTTCATTTTTTAATTCGCCTTCTAACTGGGGGACTAAACGGGGCGATGGCTTCTACGGCTAACGGTTAAAATCTTTCCAACATGGTCATCACAATTTGTTTACACTTAACTTTTTTTTACGCCAAACGGCTAAATGTTTTGGCTAACGGCTAACGGTTGACCCCATAACGACCCCATTCTAAATGAACGCGTCTAACATGTTGCGTTTTACCTGAAAAAATATTCTTCCGCTCAGACATCTTATAGTTGCGCGCACCACGTCTCTTTTTAATCCAATTGCAAAATGTTCTATCTGAGTAATTTTGTGACTGATGTATCTATTGAAACCTCCCCGAATGTAATCTATTGCTTAACTTGCACTTATTGCAAAAAGATATACATCGGCGAAACAGGCAGAAGACTAGGTGACCGATTCCGAGAACACCTTCGAGACGTGGAAAAGAATGACAAGGACACATCGAAACCAGTCGCTAGACATTTTAATTTACCTAATCATTCTAAGCAACATATGGCAATCTGCGGTCTTTCCTTACACTTAGGTAGCACGGAAAGCCGTAAAACTCTTGAACAAAAGCTCATCTTTCAAACCGGCAGTCTAAATCCCACAGGGATCAACGAACGCTTTTCATTCCACTAATTTATTCGTGTTTTTCTCGTTGCCATGTTCCCACCAATAACGTAGCTCCATTTTCTGCCTTTAAAAGCACACACAACCCACAATTCCTCTATTCGCTCCGACGAAGGGCTAACGCTCGAAACGTCAGCTTTTGTAATCGTTACGGTGGCCAATTTACCATTTCAACTTTGTTGATATATCCAAATTATTTCGTTACTCCCACCGACGCAGCCCCAAACAGTTTCTTTCGAAACTATCAGCCTTTATTGAAAGATAAGTTCGTATTTCGAATTATTCGCTCTAGAAGTAGTTTTTTTTTTTTTTTACTTACATGAGATGTCATTGTTGTGTTAAGCAAGGCTTAGAAATTTCCTAATAAGACGATACAAAGTGTTGAGTACTGATTCAAAAAAGAGCAACTGCTTTTAACCGCCAAGCGTCACCTCCATAAAGAAACCTAGGGCTGCGTGAACGTCGCTGACTTCACAAGCACTCCGTTATTTTAGTACACACTGCTCTTGTGTAATGTTTAGTGAATGCACACAATATTCTTAACCTTTTGATTCCTATCATTGATTACAATCTTATCTCTCGCCACAATATCAACCCCCAATCGGTCACGAGAATAGTAAAAATAATCACCAACCAAAGAAGCTTTAGATTGTTGAAAGAATTCTCCTCGTCAGCACCTTAGGAAATGAGAAAAGTATGGAGAATATGCTTACTGATGTCAGGGTATAAAGAGTTAAACGATCACCACACTTGTATAGCAAAGGGGAGGTGTCAGAATACTTTTAGAAACATTCAGTGGGGGAGGGGGAGCGTACTCTCTTGAATTTTTCCCAGAATGTATTTGAGCGCAAAGGGATGTTTAAAGTTATGTTCGGGCGCGGAATGTTGTGATAAAAAAAAAAAAATTCGAATTTGATTTCCATCAGCTTTTCCGTGATCAACAAGTTAACGTGCATATTTCTTGGATCTAGTTAGCGATCGGATAGATGGGATAGATAGTTTATTACCATAAAAATAAAAATACTTTGCAGCCATAGGCTGAATTGCGTACTTTTCACAATTATTTGTAAATCTATATGAGACTATATAAAACTACAAAATTTACAAAAAATTGTAAGACCTAAAATAATTATAATTATACAGCCATGGAATAAAACGAAGTCAATGTTAAGACCCTGGATTAGCCCTCGAGCACATAGCCGGAATAAATGAAGACTTAAAACGATCAGTGCGGGAGCGCGAAGCGCGGTATGTTAAAAACGCGCTGGCGTATTGTGTTGTACGCTGAATGATGTCTATCTGGAAGCAAACTGTATAATTTATGACATGGATTTGAGATGGACAAAAGCGGATCAGTGCATAACTTCTTGCGTCTGTCGTAGAGTGAAGTTAAACCATGCCTATCTACGGAGTCATGATATGACACTTCTGGAGAAATAATAGATAATGCGCGCCTTTGGACCCTTTCGATGTCATCAATAAGATACGTGGGTAACGCAGGATGGACGGAACATTTCCGCACTGTATTCCA